ATACATTTTATATAATTAACTGTACAAATATATTTTTTAAGAAAAAACATAAATAAATGCCTTGTGGCAAGGTAATAGATCATAATTATCTTCTAAATCATACTTGGTACTTATTAACTTAATGCTAATTACATAAACATTAGTTATTGGCTTGTTGGATATATTTATTTGCATCAAGATTTATGGAAATGAAAACCGAAAACTATGAAGATTTGACTGACATTATTATATTGTTCACATAATTCAACAACAATTTTTTTTTTTGCTACAAGAGAGAAAAGAAAGGGAGAACTAAAGCTAGGTTAGTCAAGCAAAAATCATATTACAGTAATTTATTTAGGAGTATGACATAATGTTCTATGAGTTTTTGATCATTTTTATAAAATTTTCGAAAAGATGGTAGATTCGATAAGTCAAGTAGTAGTATGTACACATATTGCCTTCACAATAAATATGAAAATTTTAGACTTAATAATCATGAGAGAGAGAGAGAGAGAAAGAAAAGGTATCTAATGTAAAGATCAATGGCTCTAGTTGGTGAGATATCTCATTTCATTACTGTAAAAGTTAAATCACAGATAAAAAGTTAAGTTTAGGAATCAACTTATTTATCCCAAAACTTTAAGGTAGTTCAAGTCATTTCAATACTCCATTTAGCTTTACTAGCATTGAACAGTAGGTGTTACACGTGAGGCCTACCACTCGCCTCCCTTAATTGTCTTTGATCAAGCTTTCAAGAGAAGTGCCCCATGGGTCATCATAGGCTGATCAATCTATATGGAGCTTTTGTTATTTTATTAGAGGAGTTACTTAATTTACTCCCTATTTTTTGAAACTTTAGTACTAACCTTAACATTTTTTCACTAACAAGCTTGTTATGATCCTCTTCATCTCAGTAGATTGTTCATTCATTTCTAGATGAGCCAAATTGTGGTAGGAAAAATGGATCTCCAGCTTATAGTGTCATATATACTTACTTATTTGAGCAAGTTTCACTTGACAAAAAAAAAGAAAAAATGTATTAGTAAATTTATTATCAATTACATATTTATCTATATGTTTTAATATATAACAATATCCACTAACATGCAAAATATTCTCACTAGTCATGTGAGATTTAGGGCAAAAATCATCCTATTTGATGTGATAGTTCTTTATTCTTGCATTCATGAAAAAGTCCTTAAAAATTAGTGATCACACAAATTATTTTACTTTCTTATAAATTGAAATAAACCAAATTACTTATAATCAATATATACATGATGACTTCAAATTATGTTTTTGAATTTTTTTTTTATAAAATTATCTAAGTTTGAGTTTCTATTTATAATTTAAACTATAATCTCAAAAGAAATTGACATAATTTTTGGGGAGTTGATAATAATAATGCTAATGTAAAAACATTAATGTATATATTTTGTAAAAAGTTTGGAACTTAAAAGAAAATAAAGTCATAAATTAAGTGCGGAAGCGAAATAATAAAGTTTAGGATTTACATTCTTTAGAAAATAATTTAGAAAGCCCAATAGAGTTACGAGAATGTCAATTCTAAAAGAACAAACGAAAATTAAAGAAATAAAGAAAAGACAATATACTGAGCATTCTAGGATGACATTCACTAACTTTTGAAGGGAGTTCAGGTGGTGAACTATTCACAACCCTCTTGTTGATTAGGATCTGGGTCTTGATCCTCTTGATTTAAAATAATTAATAAAAGGGTGAGGTACACTACCCTAATAAGAATATCATACTGCTCATCCATACAGAAACTGAAGATTGGTAAAAATCATAAAAACAACCAATGGAGTTTTTGATTTAAGTAAATTCATTTATTATAAACAAAACCATTTATTAGATATATTTACTGTTGCAAAAATTTTAAAACCGACCTATAGAGACAATAACTCAAATAACATTTTAATCTCATATTCAAGTGAGCACAAACAACAACTTTTCCTTTTTATTTACTTATTGGTATCCTTAGGAGTTCATAGGAATGTCCCACTACGCGTGAACTAATATTTAATATTGTCAATTAACTGGCCATCTCCATACTTCGTCTGTTATGAACGCTAAAATATACTATCCATCGATACCCCGTCTGATGTGAGCGCCAAAAATATCATTTCTCGATACCCCGTCCGGATTGAGGCAACATTTACAGTAGAGTTTTCAATGTACCTGGTCTGTCTACCATCTCCCAGAATATATAGTAAAACTACCATTCATTAATTCACATGACCAAACAATTTTTCGTTTGCATAATAATTTTCAATTTCATAAATTAACTATAAATCATGCAAGACAATCAATAAATATACATTAAAGAAGCATAATAGAATCATTTAACCATTTCAATATATTCTCATGTGTTTGAAACTGTAAAAATAAATAATCAGTTACACAAGACAAACAAATAAATAACTAACCGGTTCTACCTTTATTAGTAACCTGTAATTATTCTCAAAACTTTCTAAATTACACAAATACCATATTATCGATTATTAACTTTCAATTCCATAACAAAGAATAATGTGAAAGATTCTTACCCAAATTAGTATTCGAAATACCGAACTTTCTACTATGTCTACTGATAATCCCCAGGTTTCTTGAATTTTTCTGCGGAGATTAAAACATGTTTCACGTACCTAAAAATATTCAAAAATCCAAAATCAGTATTAAAAATTATTTTTCGGCCAATTTGGGGGATTCCGGCATGATAGTACTGCCGCCCGTGGTGGCAGTTTGCCTCGGCTTAGCCGTTTTTGGCCAGTTTTGACTGGTTTCGGTCTATTTTACACTCATATGTGTGAGAAAATACGTTATGGGGCCTCGATTAGCTGAAAAAAGTCAAAAAATAGAAATCTACCGGTGGTAGGATTTTTTGATGATGCGGCTCTGCCGGCTCACCTTCGCGACTGAGTATTTTTCTTTAGTCAACCTATATAAAACAGAACAGTGAACACAATGGTGAAAAAGTCGCACAAAACAAAAAACGGGAAGGGGCTCATCGGATGAGATTGCGGATTTTGTCCGCCGCATCACCGCCAGACTTTACCTGCAATTTCTGGCTCACCCGTCGTTCTTTTTGCTCCTATTCTACCATGGGAGTGCTTAGAATCAAATTTCGAGCGGATATAAGAATTTTTACATTTTTTAGCAGTCAAAGTTGGCTCCGGCGCAGCGGTGGGCGACTGTCGGCTCCCTTCTCCGGCGACTGGTTCTTCTTCTCCAACATGAGGCTAACATGTAGGGTTTGGATTATGTGTGATGCGAAATATTTATACCCATTTCGCATTAATCTGAGCCACTTATCACGTTTGATCTCGATCATCCGATCGCGTTTAAAAGAAAAAATGAATTTAGACCGTTCATCACGATTTAATATCGATCGTCCGATCACGTTTAAAGAGGGAGCGAATCTGAACAGTTCATCGCGTTTAATCGCGACCGTCTAATCACGCATGAGGAGGGAACAGATCTGGACCGTCCACGAGTGCGAGAATTCTTTCGAGTCGTCCGATCGCGGGCACGTAGATCGCCAGCATGGTCTCCCGTGTGGCACAAATTCAGCGTATTTTGTCACGCGGCGCGCTCTGATTCGTCGAAACTGCTGACTGTGTGGTCTTACTTGGTAAATTTTTTTTAATTGCGTTCTGACTCCCAATTTTCGAGTTTTCTTTCAAAAACATCATTCGAACCCAAATTTTTACCACTTTTTTCAAAAATTATTTTTAATTTGATCATTAATTTATTTTTTCAACAATTTTATACTAAATTAAAATTTATTAATTTCTAAATTAAATTTTTATATATTTTTAATGTTAAAATTAATTTCGAGTTAAATTCTGGACCGGAATATTAATTTGTTGATATAGAAGGTGATATTTGGACTCATTATCACATTTATATTGACCAGCTAAGCTAGTTTATATAATGCATTTTTCAACGGCCACATATATACATACGCATATATGTATATATACATACACATATCAATATAAATACATAGTTGCTCTTATAAGAATATGCATGCATGAGATATATTATATTATTGTAGATAGTAAAAGAACTTGAACTGATCTATTATATACCTCACCGTTAAAGAAAAAGGGGATTTGAGAGGGAAGAAGAGAAGGGCCTAACATGAGAGAGGAGAGCCTGTCAGCTTAGCCAAGTAGACTGCCTGAGAACACAAATAAGACGCCTCTCTCTCTCTCTCTCCTTCTTTAAGTATATGTATATATATATATTCTCTCTTTCTCTCTCTCTCTCTCTCTATATATATGTATATTATGTATATGTATAACATCCATGAAAAACCTCATAGTTTGGGACGCAGGCAAGTCATCCTTGGCTACCAGACAAAGACTCTCACCTTCATGTAAGGCCTCCCTTCCTCAAATGAGCTAGCCCTTTATTAACTTATAAGCTCCATCAACATACATATATGTGTGTGTGTGTGTGTGTGTGTTTGTATGTGTCTTGTTCGGATAATGTAGATATATATATATATATACATATGTATATTATAATGAATATAGCATGAAGAAGAGAAGGCCTAACATGAAAGAAAAGAGCCTGTCAAGTTAGCCAAGATGACTGCCTGCCTGGATCTCAACAAGTAGTGCCGTGTTTGTTTTTGACAAATAAATGGAGTCAAAATATGTACACTTGAAAAGAGGCTGCAGGCAAGTCATTCTTGGCTACCAAACAAGACTCTTATCTTCATCTTAGACCTCTCTTCTTCTTCTTCTTCTTCTTCTATCTATTGCTAGGCTAGAGGATGCCAACTCTATCTTCGAAGGTCTCTATTTATAGTCCGCCAGAAAACAGAATACATACATTAGATTCCCATAATACAAGTAACCCAATATATAATTTTGGATAATTTATATATTTTCTTAATTTGAAAACTCATTGCACCTGGTCATGATGGATAATAATGTTTCTGCTTATCTTCTATAAATCAACAATTCAATGCTCATATTTGGGTCTTTGCCCATAATCGAATATATTCTCTTTTTTCAAAAATGAAGGGACCCCCATGATATCTCTTTGTATAATCATTATTCTTTTATATATAAATACATATATCTCTCTAAAAAAAGAATGTAAAATTGTGATAGTGATAGGTAGATATGTCCATGACCACTATAACTAATGGGTAAAGATAGTATTGCCATGTGTATAAATTAGAAGAAATTACAGATATATTTAATTTATTTAAAGTTTTATTAAGGATTTAGAAAAAATAAAATTTAAAGTAAATAAATTATGTTTATAGAAATTTCTAATTCGTTCACCTATTATTATATTTGGTAAGGAATTGAAGCTGCAGCCAACTTGCATATCCTGATATGAATTATGATCAGGGATTCCATACCAAACAAGATAATATATGTATATATATATATATATATTATGCATGGCCTCTGATAATTTACCCATTTTCTGAATTTTCTTTTATGGGCACTGTCAAATAATAGAGAGCTGTAATTGGGCTGCTGACAAACTAATCAAAAGAAGTCTGAAAATGGATAGAAATAAATGGCATGGTAATTTGAATTCTTGTAATTTTACAATTTTATGTTTTGAAAAAAGAAAAATTTTATATCTTTTTTACTTAATGTGAGATTTCATTTCTTAAAGAGAGAGATATATATATATACATGTTTATATATTTTATATAATTTTTTATAGTGACTTCTCTGACTTTTGTATGAGTTCTTTTTTTGGTCATAGGCTTTGACCTTACAACTAATAAAAAAGAGAAAAAAAAAAGAAGAAAAAAAAAGCACAAAATCTTTTGTTTATTCTTCAATTCAAATTTATTCCAAAATTGGCATCATTTTTTAGATGCCCCTCCAATTAACAAAGTCAATGCCTTTTACTAATTCAAGATTTTCAAAATAAAGAAAACACTAAATGAGTTTTTATCCTCGTGATACATATAGGTTCCATTTGAGTTTTTATTCTCGTTATATATATAGATTTCGAACGAATAAAGATAAATTAGACGTGACAAATCTGTCTTTTAACAAAAAAAAAAATCATATCGAATCGAGTTACTATATTTTGGGTCAGATTGATTCATTTACGAAATTTTGTTCTTAATTATTTCACAACAGCATAATATTATGTCGTGATTTTTTTTTTAAAAAATTAATTTTTAAATATTAGTTATTTAATGTATAAAATTTATTTATTATTTACACATTTTTATGTATATAATTGAATTAATTTGATTTATGTTCAATTTCACACTTATAAATTTTGGTTTCACCAATCAATCAGTAAATGAGTTACTAAAATACATAATGCCCACTAGACGAGCACTGAGGAAGTTTTTTTGTGTATTTCTTCAATAAATACGAATTTTTAAGTTTTGTATTTTTTTTTTAATTTTTAATTCTTATTAGTCTAATTTAATCTATTTAACTGTCTTTTTTAAAATGTAAATATATTATATTACTTAATTAAATCATATGTATTGAATCTAAAAAATTCAAACTTGATATAAAATAATTAAATAATAATAATAATGTTATAATAAAATTAAAAGTGAAATTAAAACAAAAAAATAATAATAATTACCATTGGATATGGCACGAACCCGGCTCGACACGGAATAGAAAAACTAAAGAAATTTGTTAAGCTTCGGCCCAACATGATTAGTCCATTAAAGTTTCCGGCCCGGTTCAATGCGCTTATTTTTACATGTATAAGCTTTGCGCGGCCCAGTTAGGGTTTCCTGGTGTTATGACGAACTCTTTGAGAGAGGTATTTTCGTACTCTACAATTGCCTTCACAACTACGAGTCCTCACCCTAAAACCCTAACCTCCTGCGTGATAGAAGGAATTGGCGGCAGCCAGGTCGAGAGGCTATTGGGGAGGAGATTTGAAGAGGAGTAAAAACAGCTGGAAAAATGGTTACGTTTCTTCTTTTCTCTCTCACTCTTGCAACTTTTATCTGGATCTGAACATCTGATTTTCTTATTATTATCTTTTCATTTTATTTAGTTCTTGTTACTTCGTTGAATCGTTGGTTTTTTGAGGTTTCTCACGTAATTTGTTCATACGAGGACGAGATTTTCTTGTTTTCGCTTGATAGTTGATCTGGTTTTGATACAACTGGAATGTATCTATGGCGTCTAAGACGAACTGGGAAACTGAGACGCTATATCTTATTTGATAGTTTGCGTAAACCTCGAATGCAATAGTCCTTCCTACTTAATGTGTCATTAGTATCTCATGGACAACAGACATGGATCGGCATGCAATCAGTCTGATTTTCCTTGTTCTGAACTGTAATTAATTCATAATTTATCTAAGCAAACGTTTCTGATGAATCAGAGTACTGAGATATATATATATATATAGACGGAGATACAATTTTAATGAGAGTTGAAGATTGTTGACTTGCTATAAAAGTAATCATATATGTAAAATAGTTCCATGGCGTTATGTAGATGGCAAATGAAGAACATCTGATATTATTAGTGTGGTTTTATTTGTTTAAGAACTTTATTTTTTGAGCTGAGGATAATGTAGAAGTGGAAGGGCAGGTTTATGTTTTAGAACCTCAAAGGTTGTTTTAGGGTCTGTTTTCTTTGCTGCATAGAGAAATTTTGGTTCCTTTTCCTTTTATTTATTTAATTATTTGTTTATACTTCTGTTGGTTTTTGACCTATGTGTCTTTGGTCTGTTACAGGCGAGAGGGCTGAAGAAACATTTGAAGAGGCTTAATGCCCCAAAGCACTGGATGCTTGACAAGCTCGGTGGTGCATTTGTATGTAATCTCATTTCAATTTTTGTTCCTTCACAGTTTGTCTCATTGTTTTTTTTTAATCATTCTCATGCTATTATCACACTCCTGTCCAGGCACCCAAGCCATCATCTGGTCCACACAAGTCCAGAGAATGCCTTCCCTTGATTCTTATCCTGAGGAACAGGCTCAAATATGCACTTACTTACCGGGAAGTCATTGCTATCCTGATGCAACGACATGTTCTTGTTGATGGAAAAGTTAGGACTGATAAAACGTATCCTGCTGGTTTCATGGGTATGTTTGTGAAACTTTTTTAGTTTGCCCCATTCTTATGTTACTTGTGACTTCTTGCCCCGGAATGATCTCCATGGCATTTTACTTTCAGGGTTTATAGTGAAACCATGAAGTCCATCCGAAATTATTGAAATCATTTGTTATAGATACAAGTTAATTAATCTATTATGTCATTGAGGTAGATAATATGTTGAGGGCAAGTGGTCATGGCTAGATTAACAGTCAAGGTTTCAAGTCTGAGTTGCAGGACTATGACCTTTTTCTATTCTTATTCATGTCCGTGATGCATCTTTATGCCTTTTGTGGCCAGATGTTGTGTCAATTCCCAAGACAAATGAGAACTTCCGTCTCTTATATGATACCAAGGGACGCTTCCGTCTTCACACCATCAGAGATGAAGAGGCAAAGGTTGTCTATTATTAGCTGATTTTAATCAAGCATCGACTTTATTATTTTTTTCTGAGAATATGTATTTCCTCACTTGTTGAAGTTTATTTTCTGCAGTTCAAGCTTTGCAAGGTTCGATCGGTACAGTTTGGCCAGAAAGGTATCCCCTACCTCAACACCTATGATGGTCGTACCATCCGCTACCCTGACCCCCTTATCAAGGCCAATGATACTATTAAACTTGACTTGGAGACTAACAAGATTGTTGACTTCATCAAGTTTGATGTTGGGAATGTTGTGATGGTGACTGGCGGAAGGAACAGAGGGCGTGTTGGAGTCATCAAGAACAGAGAGAAACATAAGGGTAGCTTTGAGACCATCCATGTTCAAGATGCAGTTGGTCATGAGTTTGCCACGCGAATGGGTAATGTGTTTACAATTGGTAAAGGAGCAAAGCCATGGGTGTCCCTTCCAAAGGGCAAGGGTATAAAATTATCAATCATCGAGGAGTCTAGGAAGAGGCTTGCTGCTCAACAGGCTGCCTAATCTGATGATAAATTTTGAGCCCATGTTTTGAGGTACTTTCATTTTGTGGATTAATACCTGTTTGGATGCTTCCAATTTAAGCTGCGATTCGAGGATTTGTTTTGCTGTGATTTGAGTTATTGTTTTTAGGATAAAGATGGTTGGATGCTTTTTCATTTAGCTGCCTTTAAATTTATGTTAGAAAGACTTTATATACATCTAAATGTTGGTGATGTGATCTGAGTTACTTATATAGAGTTTCGATGCTAATTACAGTCTTTTGAAATTGTGCTAGTCCTTGAGTCATTTTTAAACCCCTCGCCACATTTTAGTTGTTAGAATCAGTATTTAACCTTTTGTATTATAAAATTTTGAAACTAGTACTATTTAAACATTGACATTCAATTGTTAAAAATTGTTATTCTCCTATCGGCTTGAGTATAATTAAAAGAATAACTTTTTATAAATGAAATCTTTTGTAAAATGATACATGCTGAACTTAGAGTTAGTTCATATTTCTCTGTGTTTATTTTTGATAATTATACAACAATTGTAGTTGCGTGCTTAATGTACATTAGAATATACAAATATATATATGTGCATTGGGCTACCTATACTGTTCCAATTCAGTTGACAAAATTGGTATTGGCAGTTGGCTAAATTTTATTTTAAGGTTGATGGGAATAATATTTGATTTAGTAGAAGTAAAAAATTTAGTTTATTAATGGGTTTGTGTCAGTTCAATTTTATACTTATAAAGAAGAAAAGCATAACAAAGGTCTATCTGTATCTACATGTGTATGTATTGGAAATATGTACGTATGCATTTGGATGAATTTAATTTTACGAGTAGTGTACTATGTGCTTGTGGATTCACTGGTAAAAGGTATGGTTAAAGTATTATGTATTAGGTTTTTAAGGATGGATTACAAATTTCTCTATCATTGTTTCAAACTTAATTAGTCTATACATAAACAAATATCTAAAGATTCACGTTTTGTGAATAGAAATAATTTAAAAAATGTATTTTTATTGAAAAAATTAAAAAAAAGTGTATCTAGTTTTATGGAAATATTAGATCATTATTTTTTAAAAAACTAAATATATTTTTTAATTTAAAGAAATTAAGTTGAATTTTCAATCTCTTGCGGTTATTTAATTAAAAAAAATGTAATCCTTATAGAATAATTTTTTTTCCCCCATAAATTCATTTGCTATAACAGTTGTATATATATAGATATATCATAATTTAATTGAACTCCACGCACACATATATATACGTATATATATATATTTGATTATCAAACCAAATAAGCTGGATTTGATTAATAATATTGTACACCTTAGAAGATAATTTTAAGTAATTAAGTAAATTAATAAAAATATTATGAGGCAATAATTTTAATTTTTCCTTTTAAAAGATTAAAAAAATAAATATTTCAAATAAATACAAAGTACAAAAAATTAAATTATTATTAAAAAAAATATTATGAACTAAATATAACAAGTTTTGATGACTAGTTTGCCAAATAGACAAAATTCAAACTTGTTA